AAAAGTAGAAAATACAAAGAGAAGAAGGTTGCAGAACAGGAAATTGTGAGATAGCTAAGAAGAGCTGATGATAGCCCAAAAACTTTCAAAAAACATAGCAGAACAATTTAAATTACTCTTTTAATGTAAACAATTAAATAAATACGAATTAACTTGTTTACTTTTCTTTACATTGCACTAATACGTACATTATACATCATGGGTAAGTACCAATAAGAATGTAAAGACGCCTAGAATATGTACTCTATTGGAATAAGTACAAACATAGTACGTACATAGTATGTACATTAAGTACGTACACAGTACGTTCATTAGGTACGTACAGAGTACGTACTTTAAGTACGTACTAGGTATGTACCATCGTTTGGAAAATGAACGTATTATGTACGTACTTCGTACAGTAAAGTACGTACATGGTACGTAGATGGTACGTACATGGTACGTACATGGTACATGGTACGTCCCATCAATACGTACATAGTACGTCTTATGTACGTATGTGTGTTTGCTGGGTAGTCATTTATAGGTTTTAATTTTGTTTACTAATCGAAACAAGCGTTAGTTCACTTATCGACAACTTAATATTGATTTTTCTTGTAATTTTTCTTTACTTATTACTTTCCTATTTGTATCCATATATAAGGAAAGTATAGGAATCATGATTTTTTTTCGATCTCGAGTTTTCGACAGATTTTTACGTTTTGAGGTCCCCTGAATCCGTTTTGACTATTTTCGCGATGATGTCTATGTGTATGTGTGTGTGCGTGTGTGCGTGTGTGTGCGTGTGTGTGTGCGTGCGTGTGCGTGCGTGTGTGTGTGTGTGTGTGTGTATGTGTGTGTGTGTGTGTGTGTGTGTGTGTGTGTGTGTGTGTGTGTGTGTGTGTGTGTGTGTGTGTGTGTGTGTGTGTGTGTGTGTGTGTGTGTGTGTGTGTGTGTGTGTATGTGTGTATGTGTTTCTGTGTGTCTGTATCCACCATAACTCATGAACCGATACACAGAAGAACACCAAATTTTAAACTTAAGCTTTATTCCAGCCTCTAATGAAATGATTAGATTTTGGGCAGAGTCGGAACATCTGGGGGGGTACTTTATAGGTGGTCATTTTTATATTTTATGGAATATATTTGTTATTTACGTTTGGAGAAGAAAATCCTTCAAATAAAAGTTACTTCCAATATTATTATCTATAATTTTTGTTCTATACAAAATTTTCCTAAAATGGTCCGTATTTGAGAAATTTGACAAAATGTAAAAAAAATATTTTTTATAAAAATTGTTCAAATAAAAGTTGTTTTTTATATAATTTTCTATAATTTTTATCCCATACTTAATTTTTCTAAAATGGACCGTATTCGAGATATTTGAGAAAATATGTAAATTTTGAATTTTGAAGAAAAATCAAAAACGGATAAAGAAAAACATTAAATTTTAAACTTAAATTTTATTTCGGCCTGACGTGAACTGATTAGATTTTGGACAAAGTCGGAACATCTGGGGGGTACTTTATAGGAGGCCGTTTTTATTATATTTTATGGAATATATCTGTTATTTATGTTTGGAGAAGAAAATTATTCAAACAAAAGTTACTTATAATATTATTATCTATAATTTTTGTTTTATGTAAAAATTTCCTGAAATGGTCCGTATTCGAGAAATTTGACAAAATGTGCAAAATTCTGATTTTTATGAAAATTGTTGAACTAAAAGTTGTATGCGACATCGATCTCTATAATTTTTGTTTATACATGATTTTTCTAAAATGGATCGTAATTGTAGGAAAAGTGCTAAATTTAAAGTTTTCAGTATTTTCGTTTTCAATGGGTATCTTTAGAAAAATGTTTCGAGGTAGATGTATGTGGAAAATGTATATATTTAGTTTATCCTCTAAACATTTATAGAGGTGCTGCAGTAGGTTGCATAACATAACTAGAAAAAGCTTATAATAACTAGATAGGAAAGTCATGTGTTGGACACATCAGATTTTTTTTATTATTTTTGAAAAATAAATATTTTTTATTATTTATTAATATATAATATAGTATTGTATGAAAAAACTCAACAGTATATAAGAAATGAAAACAGTGATATACTGCTCTACAATATATAAAGTTAAACTTCTGTGATATAAAGTAAGTTGGATTGTATTTACATAGGTAAATGTTAGGCGGCTTCCTAAAATGGATTTATTTTTGAGAAATGGGGGTTCTTGATTTAAGTTTTTCTTCAACCTTCATCTGAGATTTTTAAAATGGTTTAATATATACATAATTCCGTTCCAATTTATCCGGCAAAATAACTATGGTCATTAGTGAGAGGGCGAAATGGCCTAGTAAACAGAACGTAGCCCTGCAAAGGAGGGAATACTTGAAATAGTTGAAAATAATCCCGAAATTAGTACCCGACGACTGGCACGCCAAACTAAGGTTTCAAAAAGCACATCTAACAGAATAATTAAAGAACAACGTATTTATCCATTTCACATTCATTGTGTCCAGTAACGCCTACCTCCTATTATGAGTCTCGTTTGCATTTTATACAAGTCATTCAAGAGCGCAGAGCGAGCGATCCAGTTTTTTACAGAAAAATTTTGTTTACAGACAAGTCATGCTTTTAGGAACATTTTGTTGTTTTCCTGGAAATTTGCATAAGTTCTAAGGAAACAACAAAATTCCCACTTCACCTCGTTAACATGCCAATCAAAATAAACTATGTCACTGCATGGTGCATGGTCAAAATAGAATTAGAATAAATAGCGCTGGTACCAAATAGTCCAGGGGCCCTATCCTCGACTATCGTTTTCTAAAAAACTTATACGCTTTAGCAACATGTGAGCTATTCGCTATTCTCGACATTCGTTTTAAAAGCCTGTACGTTTTTAAAACGGGTGTTTTACAGCGAGCGGAATTTTTCAAACTTTTTTGATAAAACGTGCATGTTTTCAAGGATTTAGTCAATGTCACTTTTAGTCCGTCAAATAGTGACCGATTGAGACGCCCCATTTTCGCATCGAAGAGGGTTGAAAAGTACATCGATGTTGAGTAGAATAAAAGAAAATTTACGAGTGGTTCTTGGGGATAACACATGAAAAAGTCGATTTTCCTTATCAGAAAAAATTTTCCGACCCCAAAATGCACTTATACATTCAGGTCATTCAAGAAAATATATTTTTCAGACTAGTGACGATGTACGTTTTCATACATTCGATGGGCTTGTGTGGAAAAATCTGGTAAAAGCTCGATTTTTCCTTAAAAGATTACGCCCTTATTTCAACCCTTTAGCCACTTGTAACATTAAAGCCTTTGGTTTTCCGAAGCCTAGTTCTGGAAAAATGGACAACAAATAACCTTTCATTTTTGTAGGGGAAAATCGAATTTTCCATGTGTTATCCCTAGGAGCCACTCGTAAATTTACTTTCATTCTACTTAACATCGACGTACTTTTCAACCCTCTTCGAGGCTTGTATGCGAAAATGTAGCACCTAAACCTGTCATTATCTGACGGTCTATTATATGTCACTTTTAGGATGATTAATAATATTAATTGATTTTAACAAATTCTAGGTAAACTGCTTTTTATTAATACCTACAAAAGTTTCTAATTTCTGATAAATGTGGTTTGCAATATTAAAAAAATCTAATAGCTGAGAATTACTTTCAATTATTATTAATAATTGTACAATTAGAAAACTTGGAAGATAAGAATGCTCAAAGATTTAAACATTCAGAAGCAAAATCCATTTTTTAAATTTAATGGATATTGAATGAATATTTTTCATATCTTACTGTGTAAGAATTTAATTATTAATTCATGTATGTTTTTACACATAATAATTTGCTTGCGGTTGCTTGCATGTTAGTCCAGTAACTGAAGACCTGAAAATTGCAAAGCTCTCATTAAGTCGGTCCAGATTTCCTTTGTGGCTCAATTCTTAGGTCTTGACGGTTGCTTTCAAGGGCGAAAACTTTTACCAACACTGCTGGGTCGGAAAGGGCTCAAAATGTCCCCTAACGTCCGAAAAAATGGTTTCCCGCTAATATCTGCCAAAATATACAAATTAGACAATTTTTGTTTAGATAAAAAATGAAAATCGTAATATTATCTACAAAAATGGTCCCTACCATTTTTTTCTCAAGACGAATATTTTTTGCAAAAACGGACTTCGAAAAAGCCCGAATTTTTGCACTGAATAAAAATGTTATTTTCTCACTGAATTTCCTCTTGAAGGAGTTGGGAATACATTGATTTTCATGTTTTGGACTTTGGAGACCAATTGTAGATGGCGCCAGCGGCGTACCTCTACTCACTAAATTATGGGGCCTATGAATGGAAATCCGGGCACCAATCGATCTTTCGAAAATTATTGGCGGATTCTACGGGATTTTTTCTCTAAAGTAGCGCTTGTGTGTAATTTGCTTTGCAAAATTTAATAGAAAAATGCAAAACATTTTTTTTTTTTTTTTCATGTGGCAGTCTCAAATCCCGGCGCTTTGCCTAATAGTGGGTTACTAGTTTTAGAGTGTGATGAATATTGACCCGAGAAGACCCTTTATATTTTCTGCGTCTTTTGCAAAATTTTCGCTAACTTCTATCGGAACAATATAGGTCCAGGATTTCAGAAAAATAAGAAAGTTTCTGAAAAATTTCTTTTATTAAAAAAAACATGTTGAAAATACGAAATACATAGCAATGCTTATAATTTATCATACGTTTTTCCAATCTCTGTGTTGATGTCTCGACAGCTATTTCATCCTCCTCCCCTTCAACCCCTTCTGGGTCTCGATCCATCTCTAATTCTTCCGGGAAAATACCTTCATTTTTGTTATAATTAAAACACTGTGTCGACTGACACGAACCACAGACAGGCGAGCATTTCAGTCCGGCTTTCAAACATGAACAATTCTTCTCGCAGCCTGTCTTGCACTGACAAAAAATCATCTTCAAGAGTTCCGGGGGGGCCGGATCGCTTGTGGTCTGCACCGGTAGCAGTACATCATCTGCACGTTTCCATCCCCATTCCTCTGGTGGCAGTTCGTTTACAAGCCATTTCTGCACTTGTAAATATACCCTATAAAAGTGCTGCCTAGCAGCTTCTTGGATAGGGGGTAAGCATTCTAGTTTTATCGCAGTCTTTTTTTGGGCCAAGTTGTTGAAAGTCTTGTATCGGAGGGCCTGGAGAGTTGTCACCTCTTTTGGAGATTTGTAAATCGACATCAAAACAGTTTCTCCGTTCTTGAATACAGTCTCATGAGAAAGGCTGGACTGACCTTCTCCTGCCAATTTAGACAAATTTTTCACTACTGACTTTTTTCCTTTTCTGAAAAAAGCAGAGGTAGTATCGCTCCCAGTCATTGCATGTAAAAACAGAATGTTATCTCTCATGAAGGGCTGATCATCAAGGCTCCCGGAAGAAAATAGCTGTTCGGGCTTGTATCTTTTGGCAGCTTTTAAAAAATAAATTTTCCATTGCTACAACAAAAGCTTTACAAAAATATATTATTGAAATGTAATAAGAATTACAACAAATTTATAGACTTTATTTTCAATCAACCAAACCTTTTCTGTTCCCCACAAACCAAAAACAAATTCTTGAAAATTCAAGAATGACGTCGAATTTTTCACTTTAAAAACTTCTTTTTTTTTTTAACAACTTAATTGATAATGATAAAATACTATCAATATTTTTCTAAAATACTATCAATAATACCGACTAATAACGACTCCAAAAACAACAGAGATTGTATACCAACAAAATCAGACGAATAAGGTGAGCGCGTGGCACGTGGGTACACATGGTTAGGTTATGACCTTAGATTATACAAACCTTAGATGGAACATAAGACACTGCGCATAATCCCATTTCGAAATTATTCACACCCACCAATCACAGTTGAGAACATCACATGTCAGAGCGTTGTCCATCCAAATTTAAGGTGTCAACGAGAATTAATTTGGTATTTTAGTGACTTAAATTTTGGAAATTAACGTTTAAAATGCCAAGATGTATTGTATAAAGCTTTATTTATAATAAAAGTGCGAAATGTGACGGAGATAAAAGAAACTTATATTTATTTCGGTGAGATATTTAATTTTTAAAGATTCTGTCGACGTCCATATTTGTTGATTTGAAAATAAACAGAATCGGACTTGGTCATTGGTACATGTTATAAGTAGCAAATAAAGGTTATTTTTATAAACTGTTTACTATTTCTTGTTTCATGGTGAATCTGTTTTCAGGAAGTGGAAAGAGAAACATACAATTAAATACAAAAATATCAATTTCATTGCCAATTTATTCGTTTCAAACTTCACAACTGGTTTTAATAGTTTTTTCAAAACTATTTAGTATTTCTCTATAACAGGGTTACTCAAAGTGTGCTCCGTGGAGCCCTGGGGCTCCGCAAAGCCTTTGTGAGGACTCCGCGAAGAAAATAATCATAATAAAAAAAAACAGTACTATCGCCACAAAATTGAGGGACCTGGCTTGAGGACCTTTTTTTTTTGAGAAGTAATTTTTTTAAGTCACTAAGAGGAAGGAGGATATGATTTTGTTTTAGGACTTTTATTTTATTTTTATGGGCGAAATGGATTTGGGATAATTCTTGCAAGGAATCTAAATTAACAACAAATTATGTTCTTATGCATTTTCAGCCTGAGTTGCCGATTAAATTAATCGTAGATGCATTAAATGTGGGAATAAGGGCCATATGTCATGTTTTTTTAAAAAAATATTGAGAAATCTATAGCTTCTGCATCGCGTACCTTATCAAAGTCAGAACAAAAATATTCCCAAATTGAAAGAGAGGGCCTTCCAATAATTTTTGGCTTAAATAAATTTAATGAATATTCATATAGACATTTATTCATCCTAGTCACAGATTACTTACCTCTGGTAACTATTTTTAACCCAGCTAAAGGTATAGCCAACAGACTACGTAGATGGGCAGTAATATTGTCAAATTACAATTATAAAATTGAATAATATGTAAAATCGGAGCATAATATAAAGCCGATTTTTTATCACGTTTACCTTGAAAGTCAAAATGAGAGTCAAATTGAAAAAAAAAAATTTGAAAAATATTTTTTAAATTATGTGTTTAATTTGTTGAGGGCCCCGTCAAATATTTCGCTTTTCACAAAGGTTCCGTCCCCAAAAAAGTTTGAGAAACACTGCTCTATAATAATATGGGATCTATCCAATTAATTATATTTTATTTTCTCTAATTTTGACATATAAAGTAATATATTTTATAAAGTAGAACATTATGCAACTGATTACGAAAAGTTGATTATGTCACCAGTTACGAAATAAAAATAAATAAAACTGCCTCTTTTTTGGTTTTTAAATCGAAAAATCTAAAAATCGAAAAATAAAAAATCTAAAAATCCAAAAAACCAAAAATCGAAAAAAAGGCCGAACACCATTATTGAAAACTGCCCAGAAATGTTGGGGGTAAAATTTTGACGTACTCCTTTAAGGATAATGGGTAAAAATGTTTTTTTTTCAAATTTCTCGCGGGTAATGTCAAAAATCAGATCGACAACACTGCACATGTTCCTTATTTTTATTATTATTGAAAAAAAAAAACGTCGTAGGGCAATCAAATACAACAATTTTCTGAAATATTTGATTGGAAGTACCTACAAAAGAATGCTGATGAATTATTTTTCAACACAATTTTATAAATAATCAAGACAAAATAAGAAAAAATCTTGTATGTAAACACGTTACCAAATGCCGTTTTGTGCAACTCGTTCATTTTGAAGGACCTCGCTCCGCTCGTCCCGCAAATATTTACTCGATACACAAAATAAGGCATTTCGTAACTGGTTACACAAATAGCTATTAATTGACTTCCTAATATTTTAAATCATTGAACGGTATTTTCCGTAAATAATTAAATCATAAATAATTACCGGTATATAAGTACCAAAACATTTTTTTTTCTTCGAAGAATAGGCTTATGTAAAATAAACTTAAAATATAACGAACGAAAAGGTAACCCATTTCTAATAAAATTTAATTATTTATTTTATTTTGGTGTGATCGTAGAAAAAATCTTGTGTGTAATTCGGCAAAAAGTACTTTGGCTGTTTCGATAACTTTTTGTCTCAACAGGTATTTTGTTACAATAATTTTATAAACTTCTACTTAGGGTCGATTTCACGGTTTTGTTAAACGAAGTTTAAAATACTAAACGAAGTTTAAAATACTAAACGAAGTTTAAAATACTAAACGAAGATTAAAATGACATTTTTATATTAACAAAAATAAAGTTTAAATTACTAAATGGAGTTTAAAATGACATTTTTACATTAACAATGTCATTTTAATCTTCACTTAGTAATTTAAACTTCGTTTGACACAACGGTGGAATCGCCCCTTAGCTAGTTATATATTGATAAAGTGTTATTGCCCTCATCATAAATGAATCGTGCTGACAAATAAAGTCAAAAAAACGTGTTATAATTTTTCATCTTTTAGTTACCTACCAAAATTAGGTATTACAATACAAATATTTAAGTCCGGCCCAGAACATCTCCCTACTCCTTCCACCCAGTTTTTCGGTTTTGGCAAAATTCGCGCAGTGACAAATGCTTCCTATGTTACCTCTACCCTTTCTAACCTCTTTGGTTATGACGGAATATCATGGATCTCAGGCGGAGAGCGTAAAAATGGGGGAGATAATTCTAACAAACAGTTAAGAACCACGCTCACATACGGGGATCAATTGATAGAAATGGAAAGGTGAGAATATCAGCTTCACTTCGGTCTGGGTATTAATGTTCAAAAAATGAACAGCGGGGAACAAGAAGTATTTAAAAAAAAAGTCCGGTTTTCCCCGGTGTGATCAATTTTCCCGATTTCTGGAAAATGGAGCAACTTTATTAAAAAAAAAAATACATTCGAAAAGTAGACACTCTAAGCTTTAAAATGGTGTGCATTGAATAACAATATAATGAAATATGAGCTTTTAATTACTGCTTGTTTCAAAGATTTCTAGAACTCCGAAAACGTATGAAAAATGCAAATAAACAAATCAATTTTGTTTTAGAGACATCTCAAGATCCCATTTAAAATAAAAATGGGATAAAAAACTATTAAAAGAAAAAATATGAATGAATTACTATAAAGTGGTCGGAAATAGTGGGAAAACGCAACTTTGACCCCTTTTTCAATGTTCTTGACAGGAAATAACGGGCTTCGAGACACATGGATCGATACCTACGGGTTTTCCCATTGTAATGAACTTTGAATCATCGAAAAATATCAATTTTTGACCGAGTTCTGAAACAATTTGTCCACCCGTTTACAAGCTAATCAGCATTGCTATAGAGATAAAGCAGGGGCTGAACGAGGGGACTTTTGATTACGGTTATCTCGAAACCATTTTTGTAGATAATGATAAGATCTTTCTTTTTTATCTAAACAAAAATTCTCTAATTTGCATATTGTGGAAGATATTGGCGGGAAACCAGTTTTAGGGTCCATTTTGGGCCCTTTCCGACGCAGCAGAGTTGGTAAAAGTTTTCGACCTTGGAAGCGACCGCCGAGACCTAAGAGTTGAGCCACAACGGAAATCTGGACCGACTTAATGACAGGTTGGTCCCTTCAGTTACTGGACTATGTGGTAGTTCAAAGCTCTTCTATATCACACGTTGTGTCCAGAAATTATAACAATTTTGTAAAATTGCCACAAAATATTAAAGAACTGAATGAGATAAGCAAAGTTATTATTTAAATTAATTTTGTATCATAAAAACTAGGTTTTTATAACGTACGATTTTCCTAGAATTATAGGTTGCATTGACTACCCGTACAGCTATTTTTCCGCTAAAAATTAACGATTCAGTTTTTTCTGAACATTAATATATTGTGTAATTAGAAAAAATCATCATTCGATAAATTTATAATTGGTTTGTTGTAATTAAATTACATACTCCTTATTTTTTTATGGCCTGCACATTACTTGAATTCAGCGATATACAGTATACAGTGATGCTCATCAAACGCCAGTCAAGAATATAGATTTCAAAAACTACTCGCGTTTCAACCACTCACTTTCGAAAACGGTTCGTTTTTTAGCGATTGTCGGAGGATAGCCGCCCAGGACAAAATCTCTCTATAATTAGGTAAGGAGCTGAAGAGGCACGTAGAGAAAATAGCGACTAGAAGAAAAATCGTTGGACACATTAGTACTAAATAGCGACAAATAGAGCTTTTCAATTTAAAATTAAAATTAACAAAAAAACTAATTTTTCTAACCTATGTGGCCTTAAGGCTGCTTCTCAAAAATTATACATAAATTGTGAATAAAAAAAACTCAAACAATTTACCTAGCCTGAAGCAG